GAAAAGCTTTATGGAAGAAAACACAAAACATTTGACGTAAGTCTACATACTGAGGGAATCTATGTCCTCTGATTACTATGGAATGTAGGAAATGGAAACAATTTTAGTAAGTCTGACTGACTTTAAACAAGAGAAGTTTGGTCTGACTTAACTTCAGACAGAGATAAAACAATGTACACTTCTATTGTCTAACCAGATACATATAGATGTGAAAAATGTAACCTTATCATTTACACTGGTGATATGAATGACAGAGTTAGATTAGCTTATCAATTTCACCCCTGGGTGTATTTGTCTATATGCCTGTACATGTCACTTCATAATAGCTGTTTTTATTTCATCTTCAGTGTTATACTTGTAAAGAAATAGTTTCGTATGTATGAATAAGTCAGATGACTTTTTCAACTTAATGACTCGAACTGTTCTTGTTCATGAATGTTCTTTTAACCGGCAAGTTAAAAGAACACTTGGATCATTTAAAGACTGAGAAGGTTCTGTCGAGGTACTATCTGTAATAGTTTCCATATGTGTTGTACAAAGATGTCATGTTTCATTGAGTTTCTAGATAAAAAGTTAAAGTTAAATTGACACTTTCATGTGTACACCCAACTGATTAAGTGGATTCTTCAGCGTCTGAAATTGGATGCTGGTCCATTATGAAGCGAAAGGACATGCATGTTCAAATCATTTCACAAAAAAAGTATTGTATCTCAATTACATATTATTCATTTTAATTGTTCTGCTGAGAGGTGAACCTCTGCTTTAGCCTCAAGTCATTTACACCATCTGACTGGTTTTCTTGTCTCGCATTTCGCTCCATCCATCCATCCATCAGCTCATCAACTCTCTGACCAGCTTCAATGTCCCAGCTGACAAAGAGCATCCCCTCTGTGTGACTCTCCCAACACAATGTTTTGCAGTTGGGGGTGTTGTGTTCAGGGCAATGTGCTGTGTTAGTTTTTTTTAACTACATATGCGTTCTTTATTTAGGCCAAAAAAATTGACGCAACCAAAACATCTCTGATAGCACCGTTTTGCCGTGCACCCTATATGGCTTGTTAGAATATAGGATGTAGGATTTCTCATGTCTTTCTTTCAACAGTTGTTTTCATATCGCCACATTTATATAAAGTACACATTTGTCCTTTCGATTTCACAGATTCTACCAGAGATTTGGAGATAATTTCTCCAAAAGCATATTGATACACAATGAAGTATATTGATACACAAACATATTTGAAATATTTATGAATACTTTTGCATTGGACTTACCCCAATCTTTTGCATTTTTAAATCAATTCATTAAATAGTTAAATGTTTCTTTTAAAAAATTATATATTTTTGTTATTTGGATACATTATCCCTAAAACTTATGGTTCCGTTTTTTGATAGAGATAGGATTTCTCTGCACATTTTCCTCTTTAAAAATGTGGCATTTGGTTTTTGACCCAAGTAAAACAAAACTATTTGACATATTTTACCCAAGTTTGTATTTTTGATGTTTAATGTTGGGACATATCAGTGATTTATAACACATATTGAAACAACAAAACAGGTCTAGATTTTCAAGATCATTTAAGTTAAACATGCTACCATTCCTTTACTATGGCTGACATCTCCATCTAGTGGACATGCACATATAGTGTTGAACAGCATTTCAAGTTTAGACAGCAACAGAAACAATTCTTGTTAGTAATGTAATGTAAATGCATTTACAAAACTATCAATAGCTACATACATGGCCATAAACCCTGCATTAGTACCTGAAAGTAGTGAACGTATTTATATCCTTGTGTTCTTGCTCATGAATGTTTTTTTATTGTTGTTTTTTTTAATCAGGACGTTTTCTAAACCATATGGATCTTTTTGGTTTTTGTTGAAGAGGTTTTGGCGAACCCTGGAGGATGACCAGAGGAAGTTTAATTTCTGCGTCTCTCAGCAAAGGGACACCAAGAGTGATCTGTAGAGTAGAGGGTAGAATAAAAAATAAAATAAATAAAAATTGTGTCTTATGAACACAGATAAAATGACAACACACGGATCACCAAACTATTTAACAGTAGTGCATGCCTCTCTTTGTCTCTTACCCCAGTGAACTATTGTATTCTGAGAGCTCGCATGCAAATCTATTTGAGTGGACGGCAAGATGGAACAGGTTGAGCTGTAACATAAAACGCCTCCCTTGATGGGGTATGAGGCTTCTAACCTCTCCTCCTCTTTCCCATCACGCAGTCAGTTTCTGGAGCTGTTTTTATGATTCAATTCAAGCACTTAAAAATGTTTAGTTTGTGAAATAAATGAAAACATTAAGCGACAGTATTGATTTCTGAAAACAGCAGCCCTCTTATTTCATGTATAGCTCTAATATTGCATAACAATATTAATAAACACTTGTGTGAAATGGCTGTCTGAATTTATTACAAAACAACCGTAAATACCTTGATTCTGTACTCCAGATTCATCATGCTGCAGTTGAAAAAGGTAGCAGGAAGGTGGTGAGGGATGATCAATACTTTGGTTACAGTGTGACTGCTCTCGGCTGGAACAGCGTCTCCTATCCCGAACAAGATGTCCTTTGTTTGCACTTTTTTCTTTGACTGGGCCACAAAGGTTAGCTTCTCACACAGGTAGAACTTTGGTGTTACAGAGTATGCGGACTCATTGAGTACCTCCACAAAGACTCCCATTGCCTCTCCTGCAGTTTTACATTCAAACAGATGTAAAAAAAAAAAAAGACATTGAAGGAATATATTTCTGAGAATCAGTGAGTTTGTATCATGCTTATGTTTAGCTCAGTTAATTTATGTTTCTGAGGATATCATAAAGTTCAAGTAATCCATGCACAAAGAAATCAGCATAAATAAATCTGGGGAATTAAACGTGGAATTAAATTTGAAAAAAAAAAGCAATTAAAAACACTTGAATAAATCTTTTTAGTGCAACAGATCTTGAAAATAAAGGAATCTGGGATCTTCTGAGCTCTCTGATGCTCAGTGCTCGCCAAAGATTTTATAGTTGAATTTCAGTCAGGCCCTTTTCTCAGTTCATCCTTCCTTAGAAAATATGAACTTTACAAGTGCTGTGCTTGAAGAAAACCCCAGACCATATTTTCGCCTCCTAGAATCCATATTGGCATGCTGCTTTGTGGGTAATGTGAAATGCTGTTTCCTATATGTGTGTGCAGTGACACTAAAAGTGTCCACTATATTTTCCATATTTTCAATAATATAGCCAATATTTTGAGAAATATAGTCTGTCCTGGTGAATTATTTTGAAAATATGGATGCAGTTTATTTATTTTTCTGTTGTAACAGTGTGGTATTTTAATATTGAAACTTGCCCTGGCAATCAGAAAAAAAAATAATCGGGTTTAGTTTTGGTTGGTGGCTCTATGAAGGTGCGACACAAATCTTGTGAGGAGCAGATTGTTATGACCAGTTTATTGGGGGAAAAATATTCTTTCCACTTTCAAATTATGGGCCTAATGATCATTCAAAAAAATTGTGAAGGTCTTGTAACAGATCTTTACTTGTGGACATTGTAAAATACTTATTATATATAAGTATTTTAGTATTTTGGAGTAAACTGTTTAAGAATAACTACTGGTGGTTTCCAAACACTCACAAATGTAATTGGTTTTCATCTTATCTTTTCTCTTTTCCAGCCTTTTGTTTAGTTGTCTAGTGTTTGTTTTGATTTCTTTGTAAGTGTGGATACTTATTTTTCCTGATGCATGTGTGAAATCTACTTACCTTGCTTTAAGCCCATTTTTTCAGAGGTCACGTTCATAGTGACCTTCCCAGACCCACAGAACGAAATCCTGGTTGCATGTTGTTGCTCCTATCATATCACATCAACACAAACGCGTACTCAGAAAATAATCTCAGACTTTCAGATCTCCTTTCAGAAAACAAGAAAATCAAAAATAATTTCTTACCTTCAGCCCAATGATTATTTCTGATTTGGAGGCAAAAGGAAACTCAGAGTTGGTTAGAAAGGGAAACTCAGTCTTGGTTTTGTGTACAAGCCAAATTGATTGAGTCAAATGAGCTCGCAAACTGTAAGTGATCTCACCACATTTGCCTTTATAAGATGAGGGCATGTCTCTGTAAGGGGGGAACCCAAAGTTAACATTATTTTTTAATCTAAGTTCAGATCAGCTGATTTAATCTAATCAGCTGAAAGTCAGTTCATATCTGGGAATAAGTCATACCTGCTTGGAATCTCAAAGCTGAATGGAAAAACATTAATCCCAGCACCCATGATTTCTGAACCTTAAAAGAGAAATAATGTCACATTAAATGGAAATTCACCAATTATTTTAGCAGAAAAAAAATATCAGAAAATAAATCACAAAGCATACTTACCATCTCCCTTGTTTTTGTCCTGAAGAATTATATGCTCAAAATAGAAGTATTTCTTCTTGTTGCTGCGAACGACAGAGTTTTGTCCTTCTTGTTCATACCAAGTCACCTTAGCCTTTCCCTTAGCTCGGACCAAAAAGCTCTGCACTTTGATCTCCTTGGTGGTTACCACAGTTACTTTTCCAGAAAGAATGTCCCCTGGGGAGTAGATGTCTCGGTCCTTCACTCTGTCGTACTCCACTGAGAAATGTTTCACAGTCATGATAGGACAACATCAAACAGTTGATGCAAAGCCCTGTGATAAAAGAGCCATGTGCTTCAATACGTTCTCCTGACAGCTTAAATTTAGGATGATGTCCTCTCTTTGATAAATAGGGATACCGGCGATATTAGAACGGTGGACTGCAGTGCAGAACTGGTAACTGTGTCAGAACAGATCGCGTAATCAATCCTGCAGGTGTCCTTTTCACAGAGGTAACTCTAGCCAGGTTGGTTAAGGCTACATTAGTTCAAGTGAATATGCAAAGGGATGATGTTTTGTATGTGTGGAAGTTTGTTTTTGTTCAATCAATAATCAGTCAGTACAAAGAATTAGTCAGTCAATAGTAAACCAGTTTATTATATATGTATTCTGTAGTTATTGTAAACGAAAAGGTGGTAAAAAAAAAAAAAAAGTTTAAAGATTGAAAAATTACTACTTTTAAAAATACATTTGAAACAACACAAATTGGACTAAAGTGCAGTTGAACAAAAAAATACATTATTCAGCCTAAACAGAGTTAATTATAACAGGTAAAATTAATAAAACTAGGGATCAAAAGGGATCAAATAAAATTAAAATGAAAACAAATATGAGCATAGTATGTTTTAATTGAGGTAAAAGGTTACTTGAATTAAATATTAGTCTAAAGAGGAAACTTCCAAGAGCTGCTAAAATGATGTACAATCTTAAAAATGAGAAGTCAAAAGAAAGAGGCCCCCCACTATTCCCATCTCATCAAGTGTTTTCTGGCCTACTTTAAGAAGATTTGATCCATTTTGCACCAGATTCAGACAAAAACAGCCAATATAAACATGTTGGTTAATTAGTATAGGCGGCATTATGACTTAAATCCGATGCATCTTAACCAAATTAAGTCATTCTCATTGCATTTTAAGATCTCAACCCTAGCAGTTGTTAAAAAGGTAAAAATGTATACAAAGTTAACCATGACCAACCAAAAGGTTTACTGAAGGCTGGTGAAATGAACCTGTCTATTGGTTTAGTGCAATCAAGATAGTGAGGGAGACTCCTATAGAAAGATTTAATTTATAATATCATCAGGATGAAATTTTCTGTTGAGTTGTAGAATGAAGCTGAGAGACTACAATCAGCTAAAACTGGCATCTTTCAGTTATTGCAACTATCCTAGCACTGCATTTGTAAAATATATGTTATATTACATTGGATAGAAAAATGGATTATTTAAAGCTGCAGTACCCCCAAGAAAAACAAGGATGGGTTTTATTTTCCCTGTCTTTACAGCATTTCTTACTCTGTGATCCAGCTGGATGTTAGATACATTTCAAGCTGTGCATCAACGGCTGCGATGGCTTCTAATTGCCTATTTTCAGCATTCAGTGGGAAGAGGAGGTGGTCTTCCTGGCTGCATGCATTTCTTGCCCGTCATAAAGCCTTTTATCAACATTACATTACATACTTTGGACATTTCTTGAAAAGAAAAACCTAGTTTGAATTCATACTAAAGTCACCAGCAGTAGCTGTTGTGTTCTCTAAAAGAAAGAATCTCAGTCAAGTTTTCTTTGGCTCAATCGTGCAGCAAATTTGTCAAATTGTGCTGTAGACAACACAGGCTCTGACGAAATTGGAAAAAACTGCTGCTGGTGTGTCATACAAAAACCATAGTATTCCCATTTAAAGGACGTCTTAAAAATTAAGTTCTTTAAACTCCAAAAGGAAAAGAAGGGTGCATTGCATATTCTTCATAGGGAGGTGGAGGACCCATTGGTTGTGACATCCAGGCTGGCTGATTTGGACGTCCAGAAGGATCATCCTCAGATAGGTCAGGTATGACGACAATAGGGAGTTTGACCACCAAGTCTGCCTCACATGTGATTTCTAGATATACCTGGGAGGAAAGAAATGGTAAATAGTCCCTTCTTTTCAGGAAGATTTTACACACACACACACATATATATGTACATACTTTTTAGGTTATGCTTGGATGGTCAATCCTACCATCTCGTAATGTCTTAGACTGGACTGTGTAAACAAAAAGCAACACTGTCCCACAGGTGAAGCTTACCTTTAATCTGTACTCTAACTTGATGATGGAACAGTTCAAAATGGACGGGGAAAGCTCTCGAGGGATGGTGAGCTCCTTTATTACCGTTTTGTTGCCAGAGAATGATTCAACTGCATCTGCCTTTTCTTTCAGTATCTCATGTTTCTGAATTTTACTTCGGTTTATGCCAAAGTAGCTCTTCTTCACATCAAGTACAAACTTAGGTTTGACTGAACGACTTGAGAGATTCTCAATTTCAAGCCGGACCCGGAGGGCCTCACCTAGACAATGAAGAGACATAGTCAGCTTCCATCATCACACAATGTAATAAAAATATAATTTAAGGCCAGAATGGATTGAACAAAGGGACAATTAACAAGTTAGAACATATCTTACATAGATAAAAATGCTTTTGGATCGAAGAGCACACTGGACACATTAACTTTAAATCTTTTAAGTCCTTTTAATAAACTAGGACTATGTTCAGTCCCTTTTACTCTTTTTCCTCTAAATAAAGTCCAGAGCAGTATGCATAAATTTATACTACTTGAAGTCCTACAACAGTCTCTGTAAATCTTCAAAGCCCTGCAATATAACAATCTAATACAGTGCATAAGGTCTATTGAAGAACTAATTGTATTTGTAAGTCAGCATCTTCAGTTTCACAAACCAGATAACTTGCCTTGTTTGTATCCTCTCTGCCTCGTGTGGACAGTCATTGAAACCTTTCCAGAGCCAAGAGCAATGTTTTTGTTCATGCTTCCATGTTGACGGGCCTGAAATGCCATTACATCATCGTGATTTACATAAATGCTGTTTGTTTTATATTTCTCATGTTGTTTGTTTTATATTTCTTAGTTCACAGAAGTGTGACAATTTTTTGACAGTTCTTTCTCTCTCACCATTAGGCCCGATTCGGATGCTTTGCACACAAATGTGAAGTGAGTTTCAGCTTTTTTTGTCAGCTTCATTGATTGCTTGAGCTCTGCCTTCAACGTATGAACAATTTGACCAAAGACAGAGCAGAACGATGAAGGTATTTTTCGGCTAAACAAAATTGCAAAAGAAAGGATTACAGTCTGACAAGAGACAACAACATGAACTCTAGAATAAATAAAGGAATCATACCTGTTTGGCACCTTGAAGCTGAAAGGAAAGACATGCCTTCCTTTTTCAATGACGTTCCAGTCTGGAATAGAAAAGGCTTTTGTTTAATCAAGATCATCAACTCTTGTTAAATTAGTGAAATAAAATTAAACGAACAGTAAACTAAAATCATACGTCACCATCTTGTTCTCCTTCTTTCAGGATATCTTGTGTGATTCGGTAATATTTTATTTTGTCCAGGTGAATATGATCATCTCTCTCATACTCCCTGTCTATTATGTTCCCATAATAATCAACTAAGTGAAGTGAAGCTTTTCCCGTAGCTTTAAAAACAAGTGACTGGATTTTTGTTTTCTTCACAGCTTCGAGGGTGATCCGTCCATTTATGGTATCTCCGTTGGTAAAAATGTTCCTTCTGTTGATGGCATCGTATTCAATCTGAAAGTGTTTGATGGTCATTTCTATCAGAGTGAGAAGCACAAACCAAGTTTGTGAAGTTCGAACCGTGTGAACACAATAGTCCTCCTTGGCAGTGTCACGTCTGCTAAACAATAAACACTGCAGGCGAACTTGTAATTCCTGAGAAACCTGTTCAGGTTGTCTGATGACAAAACGTGCAACTGGTTGGAACACCTTGAGGTGTACATTCAGGAGAAAAAAAACATAAAGTCATAAAAACACCCCAGTATTTATTGATTTATTATTTTTTTTACAGAAAAGGCAGATTTAACTGAAATGAAGTGTTCAGATATGCAGCACATATTGTTTTTGAAAACATCCTCAAGTGGAGCCTCTTATTCTGTTATCTTAAGGCCCTTTCGATAACCAAAGATAAATTTTAGATGACATGAAAACATAACTTTTTCATAACCTAAAATTGATGTAATTGGATATACTTTCAAAAAAAAAAAAGAAAAAAAAAGTTAAACGGAAAAAAAAAACTGTAAATATGTACATTTTAATCTCTGGATCTAAAGCACGCTTCACATCAAGATCAACCTGTGGGAAAAAATGGTATTTGAATATTATCAATAACATATTCAAAATAAGAAAAGTTTGTCACAGCATTTTGGTACAAATATATATATCATAATTAGGCCTAGGAAATAAATCATTAATAATATTTATGTCACAACAAACACCATCATCACTTAGACTCTGTTGTTTTGCATAGTTTTGGCAGCATCATGATGTTTTCATTCAACAGAGACATGGAGTTTGGTCAGTGTATAAATGAATATGGATGGAGCTGGTTTACGAGCCTTTCATAGATTTTTAGTAGTAAAAATTGAAAATTGAATTCAAGTATGAGAGCTGATGCATGTTTTCCCCTTCACCCTCAATTTTAAAAGCAGCTGATTTTTTTTATTTTTTTTACTATTATTTGATAAGTACAATAAATCACCAGATAGGATTTCTAACTGCAGCTCATACATTTACCTGGCTGTTATGAGACTTTAGTCCAAAGAGCATCCTATTTGCAGTATTCATAGGCTACAGTATCAGCAAACCACACATTCATAGATCCTTTTTTGACATCTGTGACCTCTCTTTTGACTTTGGATTTAATGTTTGAGGAAACATGGCATCCAGCATTGCACCTCATTGCACTTATGTTGCATCAGTGACATCAAGATCCATGCTTTAAGATAGAAGTCAACATTAGCTTTACTGGCAAGTTTGTATAGCACCATTCAGAGAAATTAAAAAAGAATAGAAACAGTAAATGGACTTAAAAACACTTGAAACATTAAAGATAAATGAAACAACTCCCATAAAAATATTAACCTTAAGAAATAATGAATAGGAGGGGAAAAAACTATCATGACCATTAGTGAGTTGATTTAAAGAAGCCAAAGTTTTTTTTTTAACACAAACTAAATGTTGCATCCTGTTCAGTTCCCGTCCTGAAAACACTGAGGGACAAAGTCTCCAATGACGAGAGGGTCTGCTTTACTGGCATCACTGAAATGTATTTTGTCCGATGGCCATCCAGTAGCTTATAGAGCAACAAGTTTTGAAATATATCATAGAGCAAACAGGGAACCAATGCAGAGACTTGGAGAGGCTTACGGTATTTAGCTGCTTCAGAGCCTAAGCGTACATTGGACTTTTCAGAACCTCTCACATTCATGCTGCAGCACTCCCTTCTGGTAGTTTAGGGCATTGCAGTATTTTAGATCTTCCAGGCTAAATGCCAGGGACACAGCAGAGAAACATATTGACCACATGAATTTTTGCCTTCGTTAATAAATTTTACGCTGTGGACATAAAACTCACTAAGTGTTAAAAACCATGCATTTAATTAAATCCAAAGAAATTGAACAAGCAGCTAACTAACTATTCTCTCTTAAAATCAGTGAATACATTTTAAGTGAATAAAAATGTATTTATTCACTTATAATAAGTGACAGCCTGACAACACGTCATCTCAAAGCGCTTTGTAAAAGTCATTGCAATCCAATCATACATTCATTCTAATTGGTTCTAGCTATCAATTGGTGTATTAAATTTAGTTACTCAAATTGGTTAATTTTTCTGGGCAGCAGGAGGATTCACTGCTTCTGGATGAGCAGATAATTGCTTGCATTGTGTTGTTAATTTTGCAGCAATCCCTCTTACTGAGGAAAAATACCCATTATTGTATGAACATGTGATTCATCATTATTGCGACTGTTCTCTATTTGGTTTGTCTACTTTTTAAACTAACATTTGTAAAGCTTTATCCTGCACACACATACTCTTACACAATCACAGGCAAACAGAATAGATATTCATACTGTTTTATTGCTGTGCAACTTTCAAAAATGTTATAAAAAATTTCAAAATAATAAAATTTAAATAATTCAAAACTTAAAATCATTCTTGTGTGGACACAACTTTATTGACACAATTATACAATGATAGATATTACAATAATAATCCTTAAATACATAGACACTTCACACCAATCCACAAAATATCAGACTAAAGATATGGAGGTGACTCTTTCCAATCAGCAGGGGGCAGTGTCTACATAAGTCACCAACCGACTCATCTCTACCTCACTGTCCATGTGCACCATGTAAATGCATATTGTATTAACATTCCTTACTACGACATACTTATTTCAGCTCATTTTTATTTTTATGTATGCTCTATGTGCCTCTTTCAATTGTCTGAAAATGAGATGATAGCAAATGGCAAAATAGTATCTAATAAAAGCTGTAAAAAAGTTGCCTGAAAATGGGACATTTTAAATGGCAGTATTGTGTTAGAAGTTGCTTCCCTTGAAACATCTCCGAGATTGTATGATGTAACTGGGATGTTTAAAGTGCATACATACCTATCAACTCTCACAGGCTGGAAGAAGTAGAAGTCTAAAGATAAGACTTTAATATGTTTCATAATATCATTGAGAGCTACTTTGACATATCTTCAATAATATGTTGTGAAATATTTGTACTCTCTACCGTAAACATGATCACATTGTAGTCAAAGTAGATGTACTCCAGCACAGAAAGGGTTAACATCTGCAGTGTCTCAACCAATCAGGCCGCCCTTTATCGGGTCACCTGATTAGAGGTGCATAGTTCATGAATATAACTTTTAAGTCTAATGTTTCCCCTTTTACTGATATTAGCTAATTTCAGTTTTTACCAAAGTTTTGCTTCAGAAGCAAAATTTCTGAAATATTTTCTCTGTAGTTATAAAAACAATCATTTCAATCATGCACTGCTTTGTTAAAATTACATTCACTGTCATTCAAAACTGTCATGGTTTATTAAGTCTGTGTTATGATTTAACTTATGATTTTGAAAGAAACATTTTTTTTAAGTTTCTGTACATAACAAGAGTGTCTAATCACAAAGTGGAAAGTAAATAGTCCAGATACAACAGTATCGCGGTCATGACAGAAGACAAATATGTTACGCTGACATTACAAGGGAGTCTTATAATCTGAGGGAAAAGAGGGGTACTTGGCAGATGCTTCATAGGGAGGAGGAGGACTCATCGCTGGTGATGTGGTGCCCCAGGTGTGTGGGTTTGGGTTTCCAAATGCTTCAAGTGCAAACCCAGCAGGAGGAAGTGGTTGTACTTTGCCTGACTCTCTGCTGTTATCTTCAGGGAGAATAACAATGGGGAATTTAACCTTTGGGTCTGCAGCACACTTGATATCAAGGTACACCTGTGAGAAAAAGTCAGGGGAGAAACATACATTTTGTGTTGAGTTTAATTTCCTAAATATTAGAAGATTTTATGCCACATCATAACAAAGGATTTGTTAATATTCTTTATGATTAGACAAAGATTTTATGCATTGTTGTGTTTGTAAAATTGATTGAAGGCTGGTTCCTTCCTGTGCTCATTTATTGTCTTGTGTTAGTGACAACTTCCTGAATAATGTTGACATTTTCTCATCATGTGACAGCTTTTTATCGTGTTTCCTTTAAATAAATAAAAGGTCTAATGTGTGTAAAATCAAAACAGACATTGATAAGTCTCAGTGGAATGACTGATGAAGTTTACCTTCAGTCTGTATTCCAGTTTCAGGATGGAGCAGTTCAGAATAGATGGGGTGAGCTCTCTGGGGATGGTGATAATCTTCGTTACCATTTTTTGGCCGGATTGTCCTTCAATAACATCTGACTTTTCCTTTAGAATAGTGCGTGTCTCAACCTTCCGGTGACCCTGAGCAAAGAAGCTCCTCTTCTCATATAGTTCAAGTTTGGGTTTTACTGAACGACGCGAGGCATTATTGATGTGAATAGTGATATTCATGGCCTCACCTGTAGAATAAAGCCACATATTTACACTGAAACATTAAATACAGACACTGGGGTGAAGAAAATAACTATGACAAGATTGATCTTGGTGAGGAGGTTGTCACAGAGATATGACAGCATAGTTCACAGGTTTTGCTTTAGTGCAAATTTGCAAATCAAAATATGAAGTGTTGGATTTCCTCCTCCTTTTTTATCCCCTAGCCAAAAACTTACCAAGTTCATATCCCATTTTCTTTGCATGGACATCCATCGAAACATTTCCAGAACCAAACGCAAGACTTTTATCTTTGCTTTCATGTTGGGGAACCTGAAACAAAGATTTGACTTGAATAAACATTTGAATACCATCTCCTGAAAAGATTAATTTGTAGTGTGCAGCACTTTATCAAGATTCACTTTCAGTCATTCTGTTTCTCACCAAGAGTCCTGGTATGTCCATGTCGGCTTTGGACACAAACATGAAATGAATCTTAGCTTTCTTTTTCAGCTTCATTGACTGTTTGAGCTCTGCCTTCAACTTATGAACTATTCTGCCCACAGATGACTGAAAAGATGATGGCATTTTCCTGTTAAGTAAAGTAACAAAGAAGGCTTACTGGAGAAGACAAAAAAAAAAGAGATTCAAAGGTAAACCAACGAAAGAGAAAAATACCTGTCAGGTATCTTGAAGGTGAAAGGAAAAACATGTTTTCCTCCGCTAATGACTTCAGTGCCTGGAAAAGAAACATGTAGCATGTAAACCATGAAATAAATCAAGACAGTACATGTTTTTTTATATATATAAAATCAAACATTACCATTTTGTCTTGATTCCCTTATCATATGATGTTTTACACTGTAGTATTTCTCATCAGACCAGTATACATGAGTATTGTTCTCGCCATAATTCTCACTCCAGCAAACTCTTGCTTTTCCTTTAGCAATAAAAAGAAGCGACTGAACTTTTGTTTCTTTTGAGACCTCCAAGATTATCCGTCCATTTATGGTATCTCCATTTGTAAAAGTGTTTCTGTTGTTTACAGCGTCATATTCAATGTGAAGTTTTTTGATGGTCATTTTCAGCCGAGTATGATGCAAATCAGCCTGTGTTGAACCAACGCAGCTCGTCTTATACCTGGCCGCAAACTTGCGGGACCTGAGAAACCGGTTTTGGTTGCGTCACGTTTGATGACAAATACACCTTGTTAGCATTCTCTAAATACTATCTTGGAAAAACAATGAAACTTGGGAAGAAAATAAAACCTGTTGAAGCAAAAGCATGAGTAGAAACTGAATGTTACTGCCCAAATATCAGGCAAACATGGCAAAGCACCTGAATGGAAAACAGGGAACAAGGAAAGTCTGCCATATTTTCCAGTGAGGAGTAATGAATGTGTAATGTCACAGTCATCAGGTCACATGACACACTGTTGGTCAAATTTTCCATTTTAGTTGGTGTCACAAGATAGACTGCCTTTGTCAGTCAGATGTGTTATCTGACGGTCTATAAACTCATAATAAAGGCAGCAAGACAAGTTTCTGGGACTGATAACAGTATGAACCAGGCCCAAATGCATGAACTGTGTGAATAATTTCAGCTGAAAGTGTATATTTACACCCAATAGCGCAGATATACACTCTTGGTGTTGGGCAGCTTAAAATTTGTCATTTGGTTTTTCTGTATATTTGAATTAAATTATTTCCTGAATCATTTGAAGGACAGATAAATTCTCAAATAAAAAACATTTTTTTAATGAAGCATCCCTATGATTCCCCACTATTGCAGTGAAAAAGCTAAAGTCTGTCTTGACCTACTCAGATCAACTTATCTACAGATCAGTGGCTAAACTTCTGGGTAGTTTTTTTTTATTTGGGTCACAAAACAACACAACTCACTGGGAGCGGTGAGTTGTAAGTTACGTTAGCTTGTTTGTCATTGGCCAAATAAACACAAAGAAAGAAACTATTTAAAAGTTAAAGAAAACACAAGTGTTGCATTATTATATCTTAATCTGTATGTTCACATTTAACATTTTTGTACTGGTTTTATATCTTTACTTTGTTGAACATCATCTATGGTCATTTATATTTGTGTATAATTTGGAATACCTTCACAGTGTCACTAATTTGTTCTCCTCTGTTACTACATAATGACTGTTACATTATAATTTAAATTTTTTTTTTACCACTATCCTTCTTCACGGTGCCTTATATCTTTTCAGCCATTTAAATGCTTTTGTAGATTTACATTTTAGTCTGAATGTAATTCCTAATGTCTGCAGTTTTACAAAGAAAACATGCCAAAAGGCTGTATGTTAAGAAGTGCCTCCTGGCAAAACAAAAACTGTTGATCACTAAATGTCTAAAAGAAGCACTGTGGGTCAACATGAGGGTATCCTGACAAGCAGTACTGTCATTGTTGATCTTAAATTTTATAGTAAATATGACCACATCTGTATACTCACTTTTATTCAGCAACAGACTTTAAGCACTTTGTACTGCCTTGTTGCTGAAAATGTGCAATATAAACAAAATTTCCATTACATTGCAAATGCACAACAACTTGAAATCAATGATTTTTAGAAAGACAGAATCAATAATAAGACATGACACTCTGGAGTTTACATTTTTATAAAAATATAAATTCAAAGCACAGAGAATCAGTGATACATTTTCAGTCTATATAAATGTGCTTTATATTTCTTTGGTTTCATCTCGCTCTTCCCTAAAAGCAACAGTAAAGGTGTTTAATATTTATTAGTAAATTCATTCAGAGGAGGGTACATTCCATGTGCCCCGTAAGGAGGAGGAGGACCAGCAGGTTGATACCCCGGTGGAGGTTGTTGGGGTCCAAAGCCCCACATGGGAGGGTTTGGATTTCCATAGCTCCCGAATGGCCCGAATCCAAAGTCAGAAGCAGCTGTTGGTGCTGTTGCCATGGCAGGACCCTCATGGGCCGGCAGGATGACGATGTTAAATTTGATCTCTGGGTCTGAAGCGTATTTCACATCAAGGTAGACCTGGGCAGAGGGATGCTGTTTTTAATATGGATACCAGCTTCTTAGAAAATTGGTTTATATTTTCAAAATATTTAAATCTAACATTCTGGAATCAAAGAAAGTGTTTTGTAGCTCTGGCTATAAAATGCTATGGTTTTTAAAAACAGGAACCAAATCTCTAATAGTAAAAACAAGACATCTATCCGCAGTCACGTAGTCTTCCTCTTACCCTTTAAATTGTCTAGAAATTATTAAAAGTTATTTCTAGATAATTATAAATATTTAGCCTCAGAACAGAACTGAATATAATTTGGAATTGCAGCTGTTTTTACAATTACAGCTGCTGTTTATCTGCTGTATGCCACGGCATAGTCTGATTACATGAGCTGCTGTAATCAGACTGCCGTCTCATTACTCATTAAATAAATTTTAAAAAAATCATTTATTTTTTAAATGAAAACCATAAGTGTCCATCTACTTTCACTTTCCAAACCCAGTCATCAGGCTGATTTGATGAGTTTGGCTTGGTTTTCTGTGAAATATTTAAAATTATAACAGCATTTCTTCAGCTTTCCAAATATCTTTAATGTTGATACTCACCCTGAGTCTGTGCTCTGCTTTGATGATGCTGCAGTTGAGGATGGAGGGCTCCACATCCTGAGGAATGGCAATAACCTGTGTGACATTTTCTGAGGCTGAAGGAGGGATGGGATTCCCAACCTCTTTAATGAGGTCTTTTGTGTAAACTCTTCTATTCCCCTTGGCAAAGAAGCTGTGCTTCCGGTATATGCAGTATTTGGGCTTGATCTCACGAGATGAATCGTTCTTAATGAACGCCTTAACTTTTAATCCTTCTCCTGTGTGAAAAAGAAAATGGTCAGAGTAGGTTGTATAAGAGTATTCCAGAATTGCAGTCATTGTCACTATAAAAGTGTCTCACCTTGGAAAAAGCCTGACTTTTCAAGATTGACATCCATGGCAACAGTTCCTGAGGTGAAAAGTTTCATTTTCTTATCCATAGATTCATGTTGGGGTTCCTGTAAGTCAACTCAGGTAGTAAATAGAAACCAAGTGGAAACCTTAAACATCATAACAGTCTTTCTAATGTCTGTAATGTGATTCTCCCCCTTTGCAAAGGCTGAAAGATAATGCTCTGTTTGGTTCTTTACATGTACAGGTTAAAATACCCTACAAGAGGATCTTCTGGTCCAAAATACCAGACTTATCAGCTGTTTAGGCTTTCTAGCAATCATGGTGATCAGTGCTTGGGACTATGGCCAGTCACAGCACGGCATGGTGAGAAACCATTTGTCACCCTGGTCAATCCAAGTAGCATCGTCATACAAGCAGACATTAAGGTATTGTTTGCAGCAAGAGACAGTTCTCCAAATGCAAGTGAAGCTACTAACTGCACACATACAGCTAAAACTGCAATCAAACAGATCATTTTCCAATGCAAAGAAACATTTCCTCCAATAAGTGCACAAATGATGTGTGATGTGAACCAAATAGCATTGTGGTTGCCTGGCATTTCCTCATATGCTCTCAAATTCAAGAGTTTGTACATCAGGCCCCTGACATGTAAAGAGACAGAACATGGCACAGATGTCAAATATACCATTAATCCAGGAACTGGGTTCAGGTCTCCTTTTCCCACAAAGTTGATCATGGTTGATTCTTTGCTGTCCATCCTCATCGACCTGCTCAAAACAGCCTCCAGCAAGTACACAATTTTACCGTCTGCACCTTTAAAGGAGGAGGGAATATTCCTAACGAGAAAAAACAGTGAGAATCATGCATTATGCTTTTGGTTGCTCATTTTTTTTATAAATGCCTTAATGAAAGACAAGTTTAACAGTGACTAGCAATAAACTGAAAAAAAAAAGAATGTTAGATGGTATATTAATTCAAGTGTCCTTATTGAACCCAACCACGACATAATGTCTATAGGTAGGACAATGTGGTCTTAATGATAACTAAAAACCAAAACTAAAAACAAAACAGTCAGAACTGATCCTTACTGGAGAGGGAATTGAAAGGAGAATGGGTACACATGGATTCCTGGGGGCAAAACGCTGGAATCTAACAAAGAATAAAAAACATAGAGAAGTATAACAAAAGAATAGAACAATAAGAAAACAATTCATTTTTCTTTGTGTGGGGCTTTGCGATGGCCTTCCAGATCTCAGATAAAATCCGATTTAAACAAACGCACATCAAGCTTTTCTAAACTGGATGTATGTCCTATCAAAATGTGTGTTATTATTACAAAAATCAAAGTTAAACCACTGACATGTTTTTTTTTTATTATTATAAAAAAAAACACCTGACAGAGAAATACAAAGACTTACAAGTTTCTCCACTTTGGTGTGCAATCAAGGTTTGCTGGTCATCTGCAGAGAAACAGGAATTATAATACAATAAATGAAAAGCAGCCAGCTTGGCCCAAAAATCTGTATTTAAAATGAATATATTTTTAACAGCAAAAAAACAACAACAAACAAACAAAAATCCCCCCACTATTTTATGAATGTTTCACAGTGTGAATGTTATTATGAACAAACCATTACACTGCACCACCATTCAAAAAAAAATAAAAAAATATGTGAGAAAACAAGTTGCTGTGACTCATTCTCATCATTTCCATTTTCTGGATACAGCCGGTCACTACTTCCACGTGAAACACATGTTGAACAGTGAACAGAAATTATTATCCTATGATTGTCTTAAATTAAAGGGTTAAAACCTCTGACAAACTAATAAACTGTCAACATTTTTTTTTCCTTTTAGCTTCACCTGTATTTAAAACGGATCACAGTTTTCATCAGCAAGATCAGAAGATTAATTTATGGCTCATCTCATATTCTTCTAATACAAATTATCCTTATATCCCAAGATTACTATTATTTTTTAGCTTGGTTATTAACTGCTGATTTTTGACAACATTTTTACTTATGTATTTTCAGCATTATTATTTTACAATGTAATGTACGGCACTTTGAAACCATGTTTTGATATTATTATTATAGGTTTTGTTTTTATTATGAGGACAACATTGTTGACGCTGAGCTCTGCGCTCATCATCACTATCAGGGCAGGTCAAGGGAGAAACAGCGCCACCTAAAGTCACGATGCATGATGGTTCACAGAATTAATCGCATGGTTGGAGATAAGAACAAAACAATTTTTTTTTTTCTGGTTCATGTTAACCATGATTCAAACATGAAGAAAATAAAGCTACAGTTAAAAGTTTATTCCTATCCATTTGGGGTAACAAAAAGAAATGAAGCTGAAATCTCTCATTGTGTGTCAAAAGTCGCGGTGTGAAGTGGTGGGGCAGACGCAGCAGACCCAGGTTGAAATTACAGAAGATGATTGAAATTTTAATGGTGAAGCAGTCCAACAACCAGGCGGCACAGCAAAGACTCAACACTGGGAGCACTGGTGATCAGTGGCGAAGCTAGACTTTTTTTCAAGGGGTGGCCAAAGGGTGAGCAAGGCTTTATCAGAGGGGTCCATATACAAATGATGAACGAAAGGAAACAAATATTTTCTCACACACACTCAAATTAAAATGGTTTATTTAACAAAGATTTGCCATGACCAAACAAGACGTTAAACGGCACTATGGAACAGTGAAACATGTAAATGTAAACTCAGAGCCCAGAATATGACCAAAAACAAATTCTCAAAAATAAATAAATAAATAAACTGGTGCTTCTGGTGTGCAATAGGTTGTGCTGGGTGGGGCCATTTCCTTCTGCTTTCCTGTCTTCCTCCCCAGAGTCTGACTCTGAATCTGTATCACCCTCATCTCTCTCTGGAACTTAATTGGAAATGCATAAACAGACACAATAAAAAATGCAAAAAGCCTCATGCTAACCTTTAGAATTAGGCTTATTGTATTTTAATACTTAATAACTCTCTGTCACAGCCTCTAACCCGCTGGTGATACACTTGGGCCTGGAGTCTCCTGGCTGGATTTACCAGGTTGGTCACTGCTGCAGGGTTCTGTCTGGTCCTGGTCACTGCAGGTTCTGTCTGGTCCTGGTCACTGCTGCAGGGTTCTGTCTGGTCCTGGTCACTGCTGCAGGGTTCTGTCTGGTCCTGGTCACTGCTGCAGGGTTCTGTCTGGTCCTGGTCTGGCCCTGGTTTTTGCCTCTTTAAGAAGAACTGGGAGATATCCCTTTTCTCTTCATTTGGGCTCTACACAAAATAAGAGCCTGGTATTTACACTCCATGACTGTTTGGCAGAGACAACACTATTTTAACTATTATTTAAACTATAGTTTTTCGTTTTCAGTAGCTAGCTAAAATAATACTAAATTAAAAATAGATGAATTAAAATTAATTAATATAACTAGTGAGGTTTCATGACATAGCCTACTTACATTTCAGTCATTATAAAACTTAATGGTTTTTCACATATTCTTACCACACATTTCAAGCAAGAGCTGGGAGATATAAAACATTACAGGGCAGCATGTGCACTAAAACATATGTTAAAAGAATCTGTCTAAAACACGGTCTATCAGCACTAGCATGGCTAATATAATAAACGAGGCACTACGCAGCTTCCGGCACTTCCGACAGTATTCTGAAAGTTTAATTTCGGAGGCGCTTTATTTCTGTCAGTAGCGCTCACTGAACGTCGGCGTATAAAGTTCTCGCTTCTCTCACGCAAGAATTGATTAATTTATTAAAATTTGCAAACTCATATCAGTAGATATGTTGCATATAAATGTTAATTTTTTTGGTTTTTCTTGCCAGTAGTCCTGGTCTGCTGGCAAGATTTTTTTTTTTTTTTTTAGAAATGTATGACAAGTGCCGCCTCTCATTAGGAAGGTAACAGCGGTTACCGCTGAGCGGTAAAATATCGTAAATACCTGCAAAACTCCTCCACGGTGTAACTAAAGCCGCCGATGTGTTTTGGATCAAGCAGGAACCACATGTCAGTTTAACCAATGAACAGCGTCGGGCATCGGCTTGCCTTCAGGGACAATCGGAAATTACAGTTTTCCTGGCAAATCTTTGCCGATCTCATAAGTATTATGTTTTAAAATTACCATTTCCAGTGGGGTGGCAGTAGGGGTGGCCAGGGCTCTGTTGGGGGTGGCAAGTGCCACCCCGGCCACCCCTCTGGCTCCGCCACTGCTGGTGATACGACTGGACAAGAAGTAACGAGACGAGGAGCCGAAAGAGACACACAGGTAATCAGGGAAACGAGACACACCTGGGAGTAATCAAGGGGGGAGACTGGACAACACGAAGAACTCAGAAACTCAAGATAAACACAGAGAAAAACTCAAATTATGACTTTTTGTGTTTTAAAATAAAAACGAACTTTCTTTTTCTGGGTTGTTTGTTTTGTCATCTTTGTTTCTCAGAAGAAAATTCGATCAAAAATATGCGTGGACCTTCTATTTCATGTTACTGCTTGCTACTTTTTCAGCTTCGAACTTCTTCCTGCAGTGAAACCTGGAGAAATAAGCCTTACCCTTGCTCTTTGGGTCGCTGATGAAGTACTGCCGCACGCTGAAGTACTTATCTTTGGAGCGGTACACATGCGTTGTCTGGCCGTGCCTCTCCGTCCACAAGACGTCAGCTTTCCCCTTAAACTTGATATAGAAGGAGCTGATCTGGCAATCCTTGGCCACTTCCACCGAAACTTGACCAGAAACAATGTCTCCGTTTGTAAAAGTATTGCTGGCGTTGATGGAGTTATAAGTGATTTCTATCTTCTTTATTGTCGACGACATCGTAACAGAGGATTTACGCACCTCAGTCGATGGCAGATGAGGAAACCTGACACTAAAAGCAGGCGCCTACAGTAGGAGGGCATGTTTGTGCAGCCAAGGGGCCTGGCTTGATTTATGTGAGGCGCCGCCCAGATACATACAGTATATATGCACAACTTGAAATCAATGATTATCAGAAAGACAATTTATTATTAGACATGGCACTGTGCAGTTTACATATTTATACAAATATAAATTGAAAGCACAGAGAATCAGCCACATTTTATTTCTATTGCACATTTCAGCAGCGAGGAATTTCAAAGTGCTTTACATCATAAATAACACAAAAACACAAAGTCATCAAGTGAGGGGTTCTTGCCTTTTTATCCACAAAATATTTACTAGTTTTACTCCTTCTGTGTGATATAACCTATTGGTATTTTTATTCCCACTGACTCTCACGATCACGCAGTTTACAACAGCGTTGACAGCTAATTCATTCAGGAGTTGATATTAACTGGGGGGGGGGTTGTTTGTGCAGCGAAGGTTTAAGGGGATTTGTAACTTTGTAAGGTTAAAAATCACCGGGCAGTTTAACCCATCCCTTTAAAATGGTTAAAGGGACAGAAAGCAAACCATATAATGCATCGCAGTTAAATAAAATCAGATGATTTAAGCCAACATGTATTTAAGAAGAAAAAACAGCCAAGGTAACATAATTCAACTTTTTATCTTTGACTGGACAAGACCATATCATTAACTTGATTTAAAGTAAGTTTAACTCTCCATTTTGAACATTTTCCATGTGGTCTATCAGCCACTTTATACTATTGTGAAATACACAGCCGGTATGTTCCTAAAACCAAGAGCTACAGATTTTGTTCAATAAATGTGTGTTCATGGTGATGACTGAACATTTGTTGTAAACGTGACTTATACTTATTAGTATTTAATGACTTGTTTATAATTTATCTCCACTACTTTGGCATTTGAAAGTAAATTGTATGAATGTTTGTGAGTCAATCTGAACAGGGTCTGGATGTTGAATGAGGAAATGGCTTCCAATCGTTTTGCTTACAATATTAGAAATTAAAAGTTGATTTATTGACTGATCATAGAGAAATGCATGTAATTTCATTAATGAAATAAGTAATTTTATTATTTGCTCTTAGCTGCTCAAAATAAATGGAGATTTTTCAGAAAAGAGTGCCTTACTATTTGAACTTTTCTAATATTTTAACTTTAATCGCTGAGGTCTTTTAATGGCAATTTATGGGTGGACTAACACAAAATTGGGAGAAAAGAGATAGGCGACATGTTTAAATATTTTAACTTGTGGCATGTCCATATTTGTATTCATATCTCTTTATTACAATACACATAAAATAGATTGAAAGCTCCAAAGCGGTGCCATGTATCATAACTACCATACATATAAAAACACAGAATGGGAAGCAATTTCACAGAAACAACCATCCTGATATATAAGTTTAGAAGTAGGTCTTTAGACTAGCAAACACAACGACACAGCAAAAAAAAAGGCGTGCAAAGCAAGATAATAAATTCAGATTTTATGTTCTAAGGTGTGCCGGAAAATAAAGATACAAACACCTTGCTAATAATTAAACCACATTACCCTTCGCAAATCATGCTAGAGATACAGCGTGACACACTAATAACCATGCATAAAATGCATAAAACAAATTTGTTTTGGTATACAACTTATTGCTTTGAGCAAGGAACATGACTGAGGCTAAATTATGTCTAGTTGGTAAAGCCTGATTCGAAACAATATCTCTTGAATGCATAGGTATTAGATGCATGACTGACAGTGTGTGTTGCTACATACTGCAACTTGAATGTTCAAAGCAGGGAGTGCTTTAGATATTTACACATGTAATCTGAGCAGATATCATGTGTCTCACATCACTGAAGAGAATGGGCGTACAAATGAGGAAACATTAGTAGAGTTCCTGGCAGGCTGGAATAACCTCACTCCTCTAAAATAATAAAAAATACATTAAAAAGAAACTGGCCAATTAAAAAAAAAAATCACTCTGACAAATAATATAAAATAAGAATATAAGCACAACTCAGGGGATGGTTAAAAAATTACTAAGGCTTGTTGAAGATACTGAAAAATGAATGCAGGAAAACAAATTGATATTTTAAATGTTTTTATTTAAGTTTTGATTTGGTAGACACCAGATTTTACGGACAGTAAAGAGAGTTAGGGAGGGAGAGGATTGTTTGTTTAAACCCCCCCACATTTACCGTTCATATTGAAATAGCAATAAGAATAAGTTTTGAACGTTTGTCTTCTTAGAAAGAAATACGGTTTGCAAATTTTTCTGAACTTGACTGGAAAAAAACATTAATGTAGTTTATTCTCAGATATAAGAACAAATCCAATAAATTAATGAAACACGCATCTGGGTGCATTAGAGGTAATGGTAATTTTATTAATATTGCACATTTTCAGCAACAAGGCAGTACAAAGTGCTTAAAGTCTGTTGCTGAGTAAAAGTGATGTGGTCATATTTACTATAAAATTTAAGATCAACAATGACAGTACTGCTTGTCAGGATACCCTCATGTTGACCCACAGTGCTTCTTTTAGACATTTAGTAATCAACAGTTTTTGTTTAGCCAGGAGGCACTTCTTAACATACAGCCTTTTGGCATGTTTTCTTTGTAAAACTGCAGACATTAGGAATTACATTCAGACTAAAATGTAAATCTACAAAAGCATTTAAATGGCTGAAAAGATATAAGGCACCGTGAAGAAGGATAGTGGTAAAAAAAAATTTAAATTATAATGTAACAGTCATTATGTAGTAACAGAGGAGAACAAATTAGTGACACTGTGAAGGTATTCCAAATTATACACAAATATAAATGACCATAGATGATGTTCAACAAAGTAAAGATATAAAACCTGTACAAAAATGTTAAATGTGAACATACAGATTAAGATATAATAATGCAACACTTGTGTTTTCTTTAACTTTTAAATACACCATCTCGACTTGTAAGCATAATAGAGTTGATAGGAGCGGACCTCCTCTTACATTCTGCAACTTTTAGAAATCATTTTACCATTTATGCATTTCACGACTACTCTGTTAGATACCAGCATGGCGGCAAATCACACAGCACGATGGGAAATACCACAGTGAGGTCAGGTGATACCCGAAGACAGAGGCTTACCTACAAGAAACAAGAACACCCAGGATGAATACCATCATGCTAATGAAATTAGCTCTTGTCAAATAAAACAGCATAGACCTTGTAAGGCAAGCTAGATCACCTTACAACTTTGAGCTTTCAAATAATGAATCAATCTGGGGAACTAACCTCTAAAATGTATTCAACCTCCAGGACGGCGCAGTTTAAGATGGTTGGGGGTGCATTTAAGGGAATAGGGAGCAGCATCTCAGTTTGCACATCTGAAGTGTGAGCTCTGATAGGGTCCCCAGTGAACTTGGCTAACTGCAAGGCCACCTTTTTCCTATTCGTCCTGTGGTAGGTGTAGTACGTCTGCTTCTGCTGGAGCTTCACATTTGGAGTAACCGTTCTAGTTGAAGCATTGCTAAAAATGCACATTACTTTTGCCGTTTCTCCTGATGAAAAAAAAAGTATTCATTTAAAGAAATTATATATTGTTGTATGTTAAGTACCAGATCCAGGGAAGGCAATCACACCAGGTTTAAAGGCTTTCTTCTCCAAGCTGACTGTCATTGTGATGGGACCTGATGCACACCACAAGCAGCACAATGTCTTGTAGTTTGATCCTGAGAGCGGGGCCTGCAGAAAATCATCATAGTGACAGAGGTGCAGCAGGAAGCCTGAAAAGTTTGATTCTCCAATTGTTGGTTTAAGTTTATTTTCTCATGCAGAGCAAAGAAAAGAAATCCAATCTCAATTAAGTGTTTTTACAACATGGAAACTTTATAATCGCTCTTCTTTTGTGCTACAATTATGAAGAAAAGTAAATATTGGTCTAAAGAGACAGCTACAAACACAACACGCAAATCTGTCCCATAGCACTGGATAAAACATAATTATTTAATTCTAATTAAGACAAGCTGTTGGTATTAAAATGAATTTAAATGGCCCTACAATTAACATCTCCTTATCTGTAGACCCACTACACATATTGTATATATAATCAATTTATTGAGCACAATTTTTTTTCTCTCATTCCTGACATTTGCTTATTTACCTTTACCTAAAGCCACGATTTTAAGAAAGGTTACAAAAGCCCCAAATTGTCCCACATAAACATCAATCAGACATGGTGCAAAAGAATCTACAGCAGTATAGCAAGATCAAGTGTAAATTACTCCTCGCCCTAAAAAAAAATATTTTTCTTCTGACAATAAATACAATGAAGATTTGGTAGTACCACAGAGTATTGTTAGACAGAGTTAAAGATTACAGTGATGGCAGAGAGGTCAGATTTGATCACTCAAAGATGAGTGATCAAAACACCTGTGGAAACATGCCTTAACAAAAGGGCAGCAACAAGTACAGGAAAAGTTTGATCTTGTTTATAACACATTTTATAATGAATACTCAGAAATAACTATATGTGGCAATGGACAGTAAAAGTAGACATCAATAATTTGACAAAAATATGAGCGTTCTAAATCAGGAGTACCCAAGTCCAGGCTTCAAGGTCTGCTATCCGGTAATGTGTCGATGCGCTCCTGCTTCAATACACCTGAATCAAACGAATGGCTTGTTACCAGGTTTAATCATGTAGTTTGAATGAATAAACCGACAGGTGTAACCACCGGTGGCTTAGCAAACAAGTAGAAGATAAACATATCTCCTCTGCGACTTGCAACATGACGCAAAAACCTAATCTGGGCAAACTTTAAGAGTGAAAAGGAAAATGACTGTTAAAGGTTGTGATCTATGGAGATGATTTAACTCTGGTAGCTAGTCAACCCACAGAAGGAAGCAAGCAAGGAGAAACATTCTGGAAGAAGGTCGTCAGACGCAGGTAAATCTCTTCCTATGAATCCAGATGAAATGTTCTTTGTCAGCTCGGCCCTAGGCTGCAGCTGGATGATGAATCTCCTCCTGAGAAAAGCGCCAACTTAAACACCGTAAAGCTTAAAGATGGCACCATGGAGCACAATGGAGCTGCAGTAAAATTAAGATTGAGTTCTGCATACGACACAAATCTCCAATTTTCTCTAGAAAAATGAGCTGAACTGTAAATCAAACGCCTTTTCTTTCAAAGGAAATATTCAAGCATGGCCACAATCTTAACCGAACTTGTGAGAAAACGTTTGGGACGATCTTCCATAAGGCAATAAAAATTGAAAATAAGCAAAAGAAGGAAGGAGGTGTTTTGTTTTTTTTTCCAGATGGATGAAAATATGACCTGTCTGAACAATTTCAATAAGCAAATTTGAAGTCTAGACTTAAAAAGTGCAGAAGCTACAACTGCGTGCATGTTGAAGGTAGCTTTCTGCACATTCTGGGTGCAGAAACAGCAGAAGAGGGATCACTGACTTTGATTTTTCTAAGGTACATTCATTTGAAAACATTGCTTTCCTCTTACGTTTGTTAAGTCAGAAGACATGGGGCAATTTAAAAACATTAAAATTGACCATGACCTGTTAAGTACATCAATCAACTTCATTCACACAACAGAGCATTTATTTTCCTGAGGAAATGGGATTTGTCAGGAGCTGTCTCACTTACCCACAACTCTGGCTGGTGGGGATCAATGTAGTTGACAAAGTTCAGTTCTGTTCTGAAGTCCTTGGAGAAATGCCACGGTCTGTCGATGCTCACTGTTAGTGAGTAGGATATCCGTCCGTGTATTCCACAAAAAGAAGGAGGAAAGTTTCTATGTTGGTGCAAAACAAGCAAAATTACATTTGATGGGATCTGAGAGAAAATGAATGGACTGGGAATGCCAAAGGAAACAAAAAGTACACATTTCTTTATGAAACCTTGATGTACAGAAAGCACGCAAATATTGACACAAATGTCTTCCACAGGTAAATGAATGTATCAGTAGGTAATTATTTAATAACAGACATACATATCAATACTGTCATTTTAAAATTGCTATAAGTTATGAAACTTCTCCAGAAGTTGCTGAAATTATTTGAAGGGACAGAATCAGCCCAGTACCGGTTCATATTCTCAAGCTCTTGGAATTACACTTAAGATAAATTAATTTAATCAAAGTATGTCTTGAACATATGTGTATATATTACATCTTAAGAAGGGTACATCGATTGCAATTTTCTAGCCGATCATCAATTATTAATCTTCAGAGAGTTTGACCTGCTGATTATGATTTTGGCCAACACCATTTATTTTTTTCTTTTTGTCTGAAATGTGGCAGAATCTGGCGAGGAAATTGCCGAGTTGGCAACATTGGGGCGACTATTGTTAACGTGGAAACCTGACTTGGTGGGCCAGTCTATCGGTCAAACCTCTCTTGCAGCAGAGAAGAGAGGTTTATTTTTTTGGACCTTCGCTATGGAAGAAAAGGATTGGCGGATAAAATCGACTTCACATTTAAGTAGGTCCAGTTTCCAAAACTAAGGAAACTGGCACCAATAACTTGGCTGGCCGACAAAACATGTCCTACATGATACATGCACATGGCATATAATGTAACCAGCACAGTCAGAGATGCACTGAGTTCATAGCAGGCGTTCGAATAAGCTAAACCTCTGACTGTTGATTGCAGCAATCCACATTATTAGAAGAAATGAAATGGAGGGCCCCGAAACCAAATTTTGCCTTGGGCCCCATGGAGGTTTGGGCCGGCCCTGCACTTACCCCACCGGAAGCTGGCATGAAAACGAGTAAATATGCGTGCCTGCAGCGAGTTCTGTTGTCCCGTCAGCAGCTGTAAAAAAAAAAAAAAAAAAAAAAAAAAAAAAGTACAAACGATTACTTAATACCATGCATGCAAACCAGCGCAGAAAGTTGGTTAGAGCGCGTACCCGTGTTGGTTTGTATGATAGCGCTTTTGTAGGAGAAGAACTCCATCCTTCCGCGGTAGGTTCTTCTCTGAGTTCTCCTTGATCCTGTGGACCACTTCACATTCGCTTCTCCTTTTATCTTCATCGACAAGGCGCTAATCTTCATCCCCTTTGTTAAGTCAAAACTGATTGTTCCTGTCATAAGGTCGCCTGCAGAGAACGTGTTTCTCTCGTCAAGGCTGATGCTGAAGTTCCTGATCGTGTCTCGAAACATCGTCAAATCACGACGCTGCGTGGATCGTGGGAGATTTGTGACTTTTTTAAAGTTTCGCGACTTTCTCGGTAAATGCCATAATTGTAAAGGGAAGAGGTAGGTAAGTAACTGAATTACGTTCAAAACAGACCGGCAGGAACACGCCTTGTTATGAGGCGGAGCAAATAACAAGCCACCCAAAACTAAACAAAATCCTCCTTAACATTTTTTCTTCCTAATAAATAGACTGAATCTATATAAACATTTACAAAGAAAAAAAAAAGGCAGAGTGGAGAACTGGAAAGGAAGCGTGGGTCGAGTTCATGGGAAGATGAACTCTGACCACGCCTCCTTTTCCTCTGGGAAAGGAGGCATGGTCTTTCCCTGTTAACCCAGGGAAAGGTTTTCCCTCTTAACTTTCTTGAAAGTCTTATCATTTGTTAAAAGACAACATGGAAGCATCAGCAGGGATCTAGTTAGCATTTTTTTAAAAGTACTTTATCTCTAAAGTCCAACAATTACAGGTATTGTAAAATAGCATTTAATATTCAATCAAAACAGCCTTTTTCATGCACTTGTATTAGACTGTACAGTTTGTTTTAAACTCTGTATGCTGACTTTACAAGACTTTTTACCTTCTGGTTGCATTTCTTTCAATTGCAGAGTTGTTTGAATTTCAGCTTAGACTGGATCACTAAATTAAGTAGTGAGAGTCCTTATCTTGTAATTAGCGGGTTCAATTCCATATCCACATGTTGATGTGTCCTGATTGTCACTTAGCCCAAAGTTTCTTTTGGTGTGTAAATTAGTTTGTGAGTGTAATTTGGTGAGTATGGCTGTTGTGTAAAGAGCTATGAGGAGTAAGTATGACTGGAAAATGCAATATAATTCAGGCCAAACCTTCATGTTATTTTTTAATAAAAATGGTTTCAAAAATCACACACTGTGTTTTAGAAGATCTGGCTTTAATTTATAATAATTCAGACAGTTTTCAAAAATGTTGAAATGTTTTTTTGAGCTTGGACTGATCATAGGAACTCCAGATTTATTTCGAGCTGAAATAAACATTCACTCAAGCTCCTGCCCTGAAGCTAACTTCAGCAGTGTCAAACAGACACTTCATTTTATTATTTGTCCATAATGCTAATACTACTATGAGTATTACTAATACTAATACTACTACTTCTAATAAAAGTTCTAATACTAATATCAAAGCTGAAGTATGTTATTTAATTATTTTCTGTACTTGTTTGACTCTACTAAAATCAACCACTAGATGGCACTAAACTCTTACATACTCAATAAACTGTATGTGTGCGAATCAGCACAGAACTTGATGGACTGTGTGTCACATTCTATGCTACTGGTAATTACAAACTGGCCCTCCAAGTAGCCTTTCATACAAAAACCTTCATTTTACTACCTGTTCTTTTTCCAACAACAATATCAGAAAAATAAACCTTTTTTTTCAATAAGATGTTATTGTTCTCCTTTTTTGACTTGTCAAACTAAATATATTAGACCAGAGCTGTGTTTTAACACACTGATTTGGCACAATACATCTGTTGGTATGGGTCTCTATAAATCTTGATTGTACGTGAAGTCAGTATCTTTACAGTGACAGATCTGTTGAGTTTACCTCCAGTCTCTTAGTCAGACTGAACAAAGTCCAGTCCTTTGCGAGGAGAACAAGATGAAGCTGACCTAGAGTTAAAAAAAAAGTGTATGGACATACAGTAGTAGCATTTGGTTGGCATTGTACTTCATATGTAGTCCAGTTAAGTCGAAAAAGCATTTGCTGTAAAGTTGAAGTTCTGGATGTTAAAAGATTAGATTACTGTGGATGTAATTTTTATTCCTGACCCAACAACCGAAAATGTTTAGCTTTCAGGCAGGGTTCTCATATTTTTATTCATGATGTGGATGTTTCAAAAAGTTTATCATTGAGTTCCAATGCTCTCAGGACATTTGAAACAGAAACAAGCAGCATCACTGATCCTCCTCACTTCCCAAATATTCATCAGTTAAGCACATGGTTCCAATTAGTGCCAGTAGATTTTAGAAAACCGTGCATATCTGTGATTGTACAACAGACTATGTTTTCAACAATATTTATTCTTAACATTTTCTCCCTGCTAAGCAAATGTATTAAGAATAAGGGTAAGGATTACAATAAAATAAAACAATGTGTCGTTGTGCTACTGCAATAAAGCACTACTTACAGTGGCAACAAATTTTCCCCTGGTCCATTTGGCTTTCTATGTGTTTCTATGTGTTTGTAGAAAGCTGTTTAATGCATTCTTGTTGCACATAGCTTCATCAGTCTAAGATGATGGCGCCTAGGTTGGCCAACCACACACAGACGAATGCACCCAGACGCCTGGCTCATCATCTTCACTTTTACATGTTCTCATGAAATAGTCGGCTGATCCCGACAACTGTGACTGGCACTTTTGATTGATCCATCAGGTTCATGCAACTTGTTTCAGTCAAAGCTCACCGTCGCAGCCAAATGATCATGATAGAGATCCCTCCTTTCGTCACTCCTCACACTTCATGCTTTTTATTAATATTCAAACTGCGTCAGCCTATTGTACCCTTGGCTGCTTGTTTTTTCAAGACTGGAGTAAACATTTGAGATAGTTAGATCTAAATCCAGAGTGAAGTCAAAGAACCCAGAGGATAAGCATTTTATTGATCTGTACTTTCTGCACAGCACCTCCCTCCGCTGGTTAATCCACAGGGTCAGCTCTAATGACATTGAGGAGCTCTTCTGGCAGTCGGCACTGCTGCTATTTGCAATTTAGATGGAGAGGAATGGGGGAGAGCAGGAGGTGGTGGGTTAAATCTGGAGGAAAATGAAGAAGTCTGACAGTGAGCAGCAGTAGGCTGAAGAGAAGAGAGGATGGAAAAGAAAGAGGAGGTGGTGTGGAAGCACTGCAAGAAAAAATATTTGGTAAAGTGGAACATAGATGGAGTGAGGGAAACAGAATAACATAAGATGAACCACACACCTGACGTTTTAGATTTGGTGGTATGAGGAACATATCTGAGATTTCTCATATATTTTGCATTTATCGCAATAAAAGCAGTTTTTCAGAATTTCTAGAACGTACATCAAAGTGCAAAGGCGTTCATACTTCTCTGTGTTTCATGCATTTTGTCACATTACGGTTACAAACCGAGGTGTATTTTCAGTGGGATTGCATGTAATAGTCTAAAACAAAGTAGCACATGCGAGTCAGAGAAAGACACATGTTGTTACAAATAATACAATCTTGAAAGATGTGGCGTATCTGCCTTTTGTCCCCTTTACTCCGAAGCCCCTAAATAAAATCAAGTTAACCTAACTGCTTTCAAAAGTAACAGAGTTAGTATATAGAGTCCTTTCAGTTTAAATGTATCTCTTCTCTGAAGGCCCAGAGGTTTGTTAGCAAACATTAGTGAACAGGTATCATCAGTGATACCAAGAGGCACCGCAGACAGGTCAGGGAGAACAATGTGAAATCAGGCTACCCAAAAAATTTAAGTATGACAAGGAGAGTATTAATTGGAGCTAATTCTAAGAGGTGCCTGGTAATTCTGGGAAAACTGTAGATATGCATAGCTCAGGTCGGAAGATTTGGTAACATGACAACTGTTCTTTGTTTACTCCACATATTTGGATTTAACGGAGGAGAGACTAAAAGAAAGCCCACGTTAAAAATGACCACATGCTAGTAGTAGAAGATACGCAGCAAACATCTGAAGAGAGGTGTTCTGGCAAGATATGACCCTATTTTGCCACAGATACAAAATGTCATCCGTGGCAAAACACAGGTATGGAAAAAATGCCCATCACAGTTTCAAAATCTAAAAATCATTTTCCTTATAATTCAAGGTCATGTGGTGTTGAAAAAATGTTATGTTGCATGTATTTTGAGAATGAAATAGAAAAAAGCCTCTGAATATGAAACACTTTATTTCGTAGACTTTGTTAACCTAGAGGATTTTTTTTTCGAACCAGCATTTTTAAATATTTTGCGTTTTGTTGAATAGGAAAGGGTTAAATCGGTTGGATATGTTCACTTATGTGGCTTTTCTTTTCTTTTCTTTTTCTTTTTTTTTGCACCCAAGAATTCCTGCGGCAAAACAGGAAGCCACAGAGGGAACAGTTGGCAGCCCTAATCTTGCGCAGATCCTCTGATAGCTTTCTTCTTCCCAAACAATGCTGGTCGGGACAGAGGAGGTTCCTGAAGGGTGCTGAAAGATCCAACAACCAGGCAGAACCCAGCTCTTTGTCAGCTTCTGGCTGATTAACACGCAGACAGGCTCATTTAGGAGCAGGAAAAGATGGCATTAACAGTCTCGCCTCCCAGTCTTTCACATCCTCTGTCTGCTTCTTTCCTTTCTTTTTTTTTAATTTGCAGTACATTATATGTTAAACAGTTTTCTCTGTTCTTGTTTTTTTCCTCAGAACATTATACATAAAAGCATGTCTGTCATATACTTCTTTTCCTCTGTTTTGCGTGGGATTCGACTAAGTCAGTCTGTCGGGTGGTTCAGGAACTGTTTGTCTTTCCAACAACTTTATTATGCAGAAGTCAGACAATGGAGGGGACCTGTTTGTGGTTTCCAGTGAGATTTACATGGTGAAGTCACACTGAAAGAAGTCATTCCTAACAGAGCATCGTACCCTGTGGTCAGACTTTAAAAGCCAATGCCACCATGATGTCATGTTACCACAGCGCCGGCACAGCAGCTAATGAGTCAGAAACAATACTGTGTAGTCTGCAAATCAGTTTCTGTCAGTCTCTGGTCAACACACAAACTCCCCGACACAGTCGCACGAAGAAGAGCTTCATGTTACTGTCTGTAGTTTGTGTCTGAATCACTGCTCCGTCTTAAATCATGAGCGTTAGGACTGTAAGACAAAGAAGGCGCTTTGTTCCGTCGTCATTCTAAATCCTCCCTTAGCAATTACCGTTCACCTTCCAAAGACCTCGGTGAGGAGCAGAGCAACACTTTCTTTTAAAGCAGCCAGTGAAGCATGAAGACACTGCCGCTCCACAAGCAAAGCTGAGCCGCTCTCCTTTTTCTGCTGG